GTTTAGCAGATAATATTATCTTTCATAACAATGAGAGATTCCAGGTATAGCATTTTCCCACCTGAGGTTCAAATTGGACAAAACGAAAACAAAACCCAGGAGAGGCTCAACATATTTCCAGGAAATCTGGTACAGAAGGAAGAAGCAAGCAAAAAGCATCAATTACAGTGATCAGGAAGCCATGTGATCACAAGAGCTTTATTGAGCTGCGGTGTGATTTCTTGTTTCAGATATGATGTGAATCAAAGTGAACATCCAAGGGGAACAGTTTCATTTCTAAGGGGTCAAAAGAGCCAGCCAAGCACGGCCTCTCCCCTCTATGTGTTAACACATTAATTAGTAGAACAGGGATTGTAGAATAGGTTAACAAAGTTCACAAAAACTTTTTAAAATCTTCTGCTCCCTGGAATGTTGGGTTAATGTTTTGCATCGTAGCCCAAGCTGTTCATTTGCACTGTTGAAAGGGACAGGAGTCTGATTTAGGCGTGTGCTTTTTGCTGTCTGATTATTTGGTGGGTTTGGGTATCAGACAGGAGAATTAGATAAAGAATCGGACTTGAGGATCTGAAACAATACATCAATGGTTGGTGCTAGGAAAAATAGGAAAGAGCCGAACTACTTTACCAGCAGAAACACACTTGGTTGAAGGTAAATGAGCTACCCATATCTTTGATCCTGGAAATATGGAATGAATTGGCTTTTCTTCTTGAACATTTAGAGAATCGTGATTGTGTCAGAAGGCTAAAAACCTTCCTGGAGAAGATATCTTCAGAATACCCGCTTGCTGTTTCTGATGGCTGAGAGAACCCATCCAGATATAGCAACACACAGCTAGAACAAAAGATATTTTTAAAAACTGTTTTGGAACTATTTAGTTCAAAGTATATCAAAAGTGCTATTCTATTAGGTCAAAGATACATCTAACAGTGGGATTTTCTTTCCAAACAATGAAATCCTTCCAGCCCCCTTGTAGTTACTGCAGCCATATTATCAATGAATGCCCAATGTATGGGATGCTTTAATTCAGGCTGGTGCACTGAGCAGGAAGTTGGATTGGCCTCTTACAACTGGCCAAGCTCCATCAGTCCTTCCTCCCCAAAACAAAGCTAGATGTAAAGTGGATGAAAAGAAAAAAGCCCTTCACTACAAAAATCACTCCTGAAACATGGCGGTAGGTAGAGAGTCATTGATCTTCAGAAACCTCGCGGATCCTCCACTAGTAGAACAGCTCAGGAGGTACCCAGCAGACTTGGAGGAAATGGCTGCGAAAGATATCTCCTCCAAAGTGGGACTTTACACTCTTACAGTTAGATTCATTACTAAGGAGTTACAACGGAGTTAGAGGATGGATTAGCATGGGTGCCGGCATCGATACAAAACCCTCCATATCTTACCATGCCTGATATCCAGTGATAGGCTTGAAGTCAGAATGAGCTTCCTAAATGAGAAGATGTGAGTTTTCTGAAATCAACGTGACTTTCCAGAATGCTACTTGAATTCCTTGAGGAAGGAAGAGTCAAAGCGGCGGTATGAGCAATAAGCATTGCTTGTTGTTGTCTCTTGTGTTGCATTGTAGACCAAAGTTGCAAGTGGGTCAGAGTCACAGAATAAAATAATGTATTATTTTAAATAATGTATTACTGTACTCGTTTCTTCCATCTGACCAATGGTAGCGGGTCCACTTCTGACGATGATACCATGTAAATATCATAAAAACAATCACCCGTTGTAAAATGTAAATACATTGTAAACAAACAAACCATCTCAAATTTGTTTGCTTCCCCTCCCCCCTCCCTCCTTAGGTGGGTCTGATCAGTGGAATCTGTGTCATTGTCGGAACTGTGATAGGTTCGGGAATTTTTATTTCTCCCAAGTCTGTCCTGGCTAATATTGGAGCAATCGGACCTTGCTTGGTTATCTGGGCAGCCTGCGGAGTGTTGGCCACTTTAGGTAAACCGTTGCTCGTGTTCTCCATTACTTTCTTTCTTTTTTTACAGAAAGCCAAGCCAAGCAACTTTTCCACACCCTTTCCTCCATTGCTCTGTGCTGATGGAATATAAATTTGGCATCCCCAAACTTCGGGGACTGCTGATGGGTTATGAAAAAGGTGGCTTATCACACGAACCTATTTGATTCCTCTTTTTGGTGTCTGTTTCTCCTCTGCAAGTCTTGCTCTGCTCAATCAAGAGAGCATTGCTTACTTCTGGTGGTAGGGTGTAGTGGTTGCAGTGGCAGGTTAGCCATGGGGAAATGTCTACTGACATTCTGCTCATCAGGTATCTGCAGGGTTAAAAAAAAACACTTGATTTTTAGTAAACTACACCTACAATACCTAGTAAACTATACCTTTCTCAACAAAGGGTGTTACGGGTCATTTTTATTTAGAAGCCCTAATTAAGGCAGGTATGACCATCAGCAGGGGTGAGGTTCTATCGGTTCAGCCTGGTTCGGGTGAACCGGTAACTCTGAAGATCAGATTAGCTGTTGGGCCTGCCCACCTGCCCCGGGTCTAGTCTGTGCTTTATTTCTGGGTTTCCCAGCTCAGCTGATCTCATGGCACAGCGGATTGCTGCACATCAGCCGTTTTACACATAGGGCTTGCAGCAGCACGTGAGTTGTAAACACTGCGCCTGCGCGCTCACCAAACCAGTTGTTACCCTGGTTGAATCCCACCCGACCATCCGTATTAATGCTGAAACTAATCCACTTTCAGGGGCACTCTGCTTTGCTGAGCTCGGCACAATGATCCCCAAATCAGGAGCGGAATATCCTTACCTGCTCGAAGCCTTTGGGCCCATTCCAGCCTTCTTGTTTTCCTGGTCTAGTCTCATGGTCATCAAGCCCAGCGCCTTCGCCATTATCTGCCTCAGTTTCGCAGAGTACGTGTCAGCTCCATTTTACCCAGGATGTGACCCTCCTGTGCTGGTCATTAAGTGCTTGGCTACAGTAACCATTGGTGAGTCTTTGGCCTTAAAGGAGGGAAGCCAAGTTAGAAATGGAAGCGGGAGTAGATCTGGAGGATTGGGGGGCTGCACCCCTGACCTGGATGACTGAGAATCTCCATAGACCTGGAAGACGACCTTTGCCAGTGTTATACAGCTGGAAAGAGATGGTGGCTCTCCAGGTGGCCTAATTGAGCCGGCTTGGTCTAGTGGTTAAGGCACCAGGCTAGAAAGCAGAGGGCCATGAGTTCAAATCCTGAATTTAGCTGTGAAGTCAGCTTCACTTTGGGCCAGAGTGATCTCTCAGCCCAACCTACTTCACAGGAACGTCACTGGGAGGGAAATAGAAAGAGGAAGGGGTATTGGATATATTCACCACCTTGGGTTATTTGTAAAAATAATAAAGGTGGGATACAAATGATAGATAGATAGATATAAATGTTTTGTAGATTGATTTCCCTCCACAGTGAAGAAAATCTATGAACAATGTGCCGAATGCAGTAATTTTACCCTTCTGTCCTATTTACAATTTTAGTGGACACTTCTGGAAAGATCTGAACATCATACTTCTTTTCCTTAAAGAATATTTTCTGGTTATCAAAATAAATATAGAAGAATGATGGAAAAACCTGGGAACGTTTTAATGAAAGATGACATTGACGTCTCAACCTTCTATAAAAGGCCACAAACGAAACAGAGCGATTGTACCCCCCTACATGCCTTCTATATTTTCAGACTAAGCTCGAAACTAAATGCAGGGAAAAACCAGTGTTTTAACTATTTTATCACCCTTTCTTTGTCTTGCAGTGGCCATTACAGTCCTGAATTCACTGAGTGTGAAATGGACGAGCTATGTTCAGAACATTTTAACTGCTACTAAAATGATAATTGTCATAATTATCATTGTGAGTGGCATCGTTCTCTTGGCCAAAGGTATGTTCTGGTAGCTTATAAAGATACATAAACCCCCTTATATTGTCAGCAAATAGACAGAGTAGCTCTGCAAAATGCAGAATTCCAAGCTAGCCTGGCCATAGGGGATTTTTGGAGTAGAAATCCAGTAGATCTGGGGAATGCTAAATGGAAATGGTCCCCCAAATGATGCCGTCTTCTTTATGGAAAACCCCTCAAATACTGGAACACTGGAATATATATGTCACTCCAGTCCTTTTTTTCTGTAGACTGGGCATACCCAATTCCTACAGCCCTTTCTTCATATTGTGGGTGCTTCATCACTGGAGGGTTTTAAGAAGAGACGTGTTTCAAATTGTATAGGGCCTCTTGCTTTGAGCAGGGGGTTGGACTAGAAGACCTCCAAGGTCCTTTCCAACTCTATTGTGCTTGATTGATTGATTGAAAAAGGCTGATCTAGACCTTGGGTCCCACTGCAAAGACTGGGTTTATAAGCCAGTCTAGTCTCAGCTTGTGCCTGTAAGGAAGCCTGTCAATTATGATCATAAGTCATGATGGTCATAAAACAGATCACCCATGTGATCAACCTGATTTTACTACCTTTTTTGCGGCTGTCGTTAAGTCAACCCATTGTTCGTTATACAGTGTTTTCCCCCAAAACTGGAAGTAAAAAATTTTTTCGGCAAAATTGTTGTAAAACACACTCATTTGACTTCAGGACCCTGCAAAGGGCTCTAAATGCAGGAAGGTTGCTAAGTGCTCAAAATGCAGGTGACCGTGAGGCGGATTTGGGCTTTCAGAATTTTGGAACTGGGTCGTAAGTATCTTTTGGGGGGTCTGTTGTAATTTGGAATGTCACTAAGCAACCAGTCGCAAGTGGAGAACTTCCTGTATAATGTTTTTCTTGGAGAAATGCTCGTCTCATAAACTTCCTTGCAAATGAAGAAAAACACCTCATAACTGTTACTGAAACTTAAAATGGAAGAGTGTTTGTTGTGCTTGCATGTGTGTGTGTGTGTGTGTGTGTCTGTGTCTCTCTCTGTGTGTGTGTGTGAGAGAGAGAGAGAGAGAGAGAGAAGGAAAAAGAGAGAGAAAAAAGAATGAAAGAATGAGAGAGAGAAAAGAAAGAGAAAGACAGCGACTCTTTTCCTTCTACAGCATAAGTAATGGGAAACACACTTTAAAAATATTTATTGCATTGCTTTTAAATAATTTATATCTTATTGCTCAGTCTAAAGAATGCCTCCATGGCATCCTAGAGGTTGGTGATTTGTTGTTGGGAAATTTTTGTAGGGTGCTCTTCGGATCATCTGCTGCATAGAATATTCATATAGGATTTGTTTTGTTTTTCAGGAAACACAAAAAATTTTAACAATTCTTTTGACAGTTCCTCCATTTCCGTGGGAAGCATAAGCCTGGCATTTTACAGTGGACTCTGGGCCTATGATGGATGGTAACTTATTTACATTTTCCTGGTTTCCAATTAAATCGTTCCCACTGGTAGATTAATTCTGAAGCATGACACCTGAAAACAGCAGCAGCTGAACTGATTTTTTTGAGGTTTTGTAGAGATGAACAATCAAGGTGAAATTCCCTTCTCCTCTAGACAGACTTAAGCACAGGCAGCTACAGAATCTCAAGTTTCAGCTGGGAGTGGCTGCTATTTTAGATGGTTTCTGTAAAAGCTTTAGAACATGATGGCCATGGCAAAGAGAACCTTGAGCCACGGTGGCGCAGTGGTTAGAGTGCAGTACTGCAGGCTCCTTCTGCCGCCTGCCGGCTGCCTGCAATTTGGCAGTTCAAATCTCACCAGGCTCAAGGTTGACTCAGCTTTCCATCCTTCCGAGGTGGGTAAAATGACGACCCAGATTGTTGGGGGCAAGATGCTGACTCTGTAAACCCCTTAGAGAGGGCTGTAAAAATACTGTAAAGCAGTATATAAGTCTAAGTGCTAGTGCTATTGAAGGCGGGCATAGAGAACTGGTTCTCCTTGCATTGTTGCTAAACCCCAATTCCCATTGTTCCAAGACCAGCCATGTGAAATACTAGGAACTGCATTTCAGCTGAAGTGCCACGTAAGTTCTCAACTTATGATCAGAAAATTTGTCATGAAATAAAGCAGTTATTAAGTGGGGCATCACATGATCACAACTGATCTTTACAACCTTTTTTTGCCTCAGTTGTTAAGGGAGGCATCATTTGATTGCAACTTGTGACTTTCTGTGCCTGGGGAAGGCATCAGGAAACACGTTATTTCCTTCTGCAGTGCCATCAAAATTATATAGCGAATGTTATTTTCTATAAAACATAGAGATAATGTTGTGTCTTAAACATGTAGCAGGGAGGGTCTAGTTAATGGGGAAGATTTTATAACAACCTGCAGAACTGACGGCATCTTATTGGTTTCCCAGTAATTTTTCCATTGGAAAAATCTATTGCCAAAGGAAAGAATGACTAAACTTTGATAGCTTGTAAAGAGAATTGAATAAATTCACAATGGACAAACTACCATCAATAGAATAATCGGTTACACCGATATTGGAGGAAGGAATGCAGGTGGGAACTATATCTTGAACATGGGTTTCCTACTGGTTAACCAGCATGGATAGAAGTTTAGGTGGCATTTCCAGCTGGCTTGTCTGAGATACTTGAATAGGACATTCCACAGCATCACTGTGACTATCATCAATACTTCACTCTATAGCCTGCTGTGGTTTCTTAATTCCCAGCAGATTCTGTAGGGGTTTCCTTCTAAATTTGCATGATTTAGGATTGCAGTTGGACAGAGTAACTACTGGTATTTTTTTCTTCTTCCAGGAATCAACTTAATTATATCACAGAAGAGCTTAAAGACCCTTACAGGTAAGGTAGGAGAGAGCAAAAAATGGACATTTCCACCTGCTTTGAAATAATAGCGGTAGCAATAGCACTTAGTCTTATATACTGGTTCACAGTGCTCTTCAGCTGTCTCTAAGCAGTTAATAGAGTCAGCCTATTGCTCCCAACAATCAGGGTCTGACTTCAGAAGGATGGAAGGCAGAGTCAAATTTGAGCCGGTGAAATAAGTTGCATGCCATTTAGGGCAGCTGTAAACATCGAGGAAGTAAATACTTGCAAGGTGGGCCACATAGCTGGTGTGAACATTCTGTGTTCCAACCTCTTTTTCATGACAATAAATCTACATACTCTGAATCAAAGAGCCAGAGTGGCACAGTGGCTAGAATGCAGGTTAATTCTGCCGACTGCCAGTAGTTCGATCCTGACCGGCTCAAGGTTGACTGAGTCTTCCATCTTTCCAAGGTTGGTAAAATGAGATTGTTGAGGGCGATAAGCTGACTCTGTAAACTGCTTAGAGAGGGATGTAAAAGGACCATGAAGCGGTATATAGTGCTATTGTATTGTTATCTGCAAGACTGTGAGGATTGCCTCAAGGGACTTGATGTATCTTTTGAATCAGATAAACCCAACTTCCTACTTTGGAATTACTTTTAATGAAAAGTAATTAATAAATTTATGAAGAATTCAACCCATCAAAGATGAGAAAAACCTAGCATCAGCTTTGGAAGCCATATTAGCACCAGACGCTTTCACACTGCCACATTCTTGAGCCTGGGAAAAGGAGAGGGGGGAATTTCTTGGAGCATATGTGGTTAGACATAATAGCATTCTTCTTCTAAGTCAAGGTCATGTTGTTTTTGCACCTGGGTGAGGGGACGTCTCAAGTTGGAACGGATGGTGATTGGGGCATATGATGGAATGACGGGTGCAGGGGGTGGATTTGTAATTTTTTAACTTACTGAAGAGAAACGCGGAACTTTCAGATTTGGGATTTTTCAGATGTGCCAGTTTACTATCCAAATAAAAAGAACTTTTGAGAAGATGCCTGTCTCGGAGTTATTGGTTGGAATGGAGGTTTTCTGGAACGCTGACACCTAGCAGGAAGACGGCATCTTTGGATTTTCTGGAGTGGCTAAATTGATAATCTTGGAGGGTATGAAAACGTGAAGTAGGAACTCCTTTTCCAAAATAGCAATATTTGAGCATCATCTAAAGACAAACCTTATCAAGATCCCTGAACAGTGCAGAGCGTTATCTATAAACCAAGCTCCTTTTCTTTATAAATAGTTTGTTCAGCTGCAAAGATGTGGAGGTATAAGTAACTACTAAGCTTTAATATACACATGAATTAACGCCATGTATTTTCACATTGTTTAGAAATCTGCCGTGGTCTATAATAATTGGAATCCCCCTGGTCACGGTGTGTTATATTTTGATCAATGTTTCTTATTTCACGGTCATGACAGCCACGGAACTGTTGCAGTCTCAAGCAGTTGCAGTGGTAAGTATCACAGGGAATTGCATGGACACAAATTTGTAGTCTTCATAGCTATCTGTTGTGTAGGTGTGATTCTTTTTGGTCAAGATACAACATGGCCACACTTTCAAACTGAGCTGTGTGGACTCTCCCAAAAAACAATCTTTCCGGTAGTCAAACTTGATCCAAGATATAATGTCTTGTATTTATATGTAATCAGGGATGCGGTGGCTCAGTGGCTGAGACACTGAGCTTGTTGATCAGAAAGGTTGTCAGTTTGGCGGTTCGAATCCCTAGCGCCGCGTAACGGAGTGAGCTCCTGTTACTTGTCCCAGTTTCTGCCAACCTAGCAGTTCAAAAGCATGTAAAAAGAAATGCAAGTAGAAAAATAGGAACCCCTTTGGTGGGAAGGGAACAGAGTTCTATGTGCCTTTGGTGTTTAGTCATGCCAGCCCCATGACCATGGAGATGTCTTTGGACAGCGCTGGCTCTTTGGCTTTGGAATGGAGATGAGCACTGCCCCCTAGAGCCAGAAATGATGTATGTGCGAGAGGAACTTTTATTTTTTACTTTATCTATTTATATCCAAGGACTATGCATCAGATCATCTGGAGAACATCTCCAATAGATGATTATGAAGTGGCTATCTGGGGGCAATGTTTTAGTACAGGTGGTCCTTGACTTACAACAGTTCATTTAGTGACCGCTCAATGTTACAGCGTCACTGAAAAAGGTGACTTATACCCAGGGGTGGGATTCTACCAGTTCGCACCTATTCACTAGAACCGGTTGTTAACATTCTAAGCAGTTCGGAGAACCAGTTGTTAGAAGAAATTACTGGCCTAATCCTGTAAGGAAGGCAGGAAGGAAACATTCTGGTGTTGCTTACAGAAACTGCCTCTCCATTAACCCTTATTACATTCTTGGCAGGACTAGACTTCCTGCCTCAGGAACTTCTCTGGAGTTTTCCCCCCCCTCCTTTTCTGGTACTTTGCTTGTGTGGAGTGACCATTCAAAGTTACAATGGCACTGAAAAAAGTGACTTATGACCATTTTTCAGACTTATGACTGTTGCAGCATCGCCACAGTCATGAGACCCAGGCGAGGAGATGCGTGCCTCAATGTGAGTGAGGGGGGGGGTGGAATTAACAACTGTCTTCATTTAACAACAAAAAAATTGGGCTCAGCTGCGGTCGTAAGTTGAGGACAATCTGTAAAGGAGACCCCTGTGCATTTCATTGAGAAAAAACAATCTTGTTCAGAAACTGGAAAAGGATTCCACAGATTTTTTTTCCAAACCCCTTGCATTTATAATATATTTTTTTTAACAGCCAGCCTTACGATCTTCACATTTTAAAGCATGTTTAAAGTCTTAAAAGTTTTAAATGTGTTTTTTCCCTCCCACTTCTGCAGACGTTTGGGGATCGAGTCCTTTACCCTGCTTCTTGGATTGTTCCTCTTTTCGTGGCCCTTTCAGCCCTGGGGGCGGCCAATGGGACTTGCTTCACGTCTGGCAGGTAAAACTCAGACCAGCCTAGCCAGATGTTTTAATAATCGAAATTGCTGTATCTTTCATGACCAATAAATACATGGTCCTTCTGCTTAGCTAGAAATTCATGCCTTTGCTTTAAAGGCACTAGATATGCCGTCAAAACAGACTGCAGAAGCTAATTCATTCTGTCATCAGGTGAAGCCTTGGAAAAGCTGAAAAGCTGTAATTTGTAAGGTAAAATCTATAGAGATTGAATTTGAAATATTCCTGGCTTTCCCCCCTGTCTGGATTTCATTCATCGGCGCTGCTTTTTTAAAAAATCCGCAGCCCCCATCCAAACACAAAAACTATTTTCTGTCAGGCTGATGCTGAAATCTCATCCGTGATGGAAAAGGGCGTCTTTTGGTGATTTTTCTGTAGCGAGTGAGGAGAGAATTTTGGGGTCAGACCGCAAAGCTAGAGACAAATTTCACGGTCGATTAGCAGTCTCGTTTCTCAATGGAGTGGTTCTGTGCTTCTTGGGTGTCTTCTTTAATTCATGCGATAGTTTTTAAGACATGGCAACTGCTGTTGCAGCATTTTCTTAAAGAATTGTGCAAATTTAATGGTGCGAAAGAGGACTTGGCAACATCCGTTCATACCTCACCAATGCTCCTGGTAAAAGGGTCCTGGTACGCTAGGATGACTAAAAAAAAAAAATAGTCTTTTATATTTTGTTCGGTTCCTAGGGGAAAATTTGGGGGGGGAGGATATCAGCCCAAGAAGCTTAAATCTGACTTTTTCACTCTTGCTTATTGTAGCACAGGCTAGTTGGAGAATCAGTTTGGTGCGATGGTTAAGGCATCAGGCTAGAAACCAAAGGATCATGAGTTACAGTCCTACCCTAGGCACAAAGCATGGCCTTGGGCCAGACACTTTCTTTCAGCCCTAAAAAGGAAGAAGTGGCGTTTTTGGTTTTCACAATCTTGCCAAGAAAACAGCAGAGACTTGTCCAGGTGATTGCCAGGAGTCAACACGGCCTCGAAGGAGCCAAATAAAATAAAATAAAAGATCTTAACGCATTGGAGATGCGAGATTCATTGTCAACTGCTTTGATCAAACCAAATGCCATTTTTCTGTTCCTGCCTCCAAATCTTAAATGTTGCATACCAAATGTTCTGAGAATCATGATGTGTTCTTGCTGCATTGACTTCTTTTTTTTGTTCTTTCCGAGCATGAATATAGATAGCTAGAAGAGAACATTTTGTTCAGCTTGGGCAGCTTTTCTTACCTTTCCGTGTCAAGCAACACTGCCCTGAAGCCCTTTTCTGTCTTTCTTTCTTTTTTTACAAAACTGTTGACATTGTAACAGATTGATCTTCGATGCAGCGGAATAGCCTTTTGTGACCATTCAAAGTTACAATGGCAATGAAAAAAGTGACTTACGAGCGTTTTTCACAGGATAGTTGCAACATCCCCATGGTCACCTGATCAAAATTCAGATTGCTTGGCCACCGGCTCATATTTATGACGGTATTGCAGTGTCCGGGGTGTGTGTGTGATCCCCTTTTGTGACCTTCTGACAAGCAAAGTCAATGGGGAAGCCAGATTCACTTAACAACCGGCTCACTAACTTAGCAAGTGCAGTGATTCGTTTAACAATCGTGGCAAGAAAAGCCGTAACTCACTTTGCGAATGTTTCCCTTAGCAGAATACATTTTGGGCTCAATTGTGGTCGTGACTCAAGGACTACCTGTATTCAGAGCTTGGTTGTTTTCTTGCAGGTATGTCATTACTAAACTAGAGAATATCACACTTTGATTTTTCTAGGCTTGCTTACGTCGCAGGACGTGAAGGGCACATGTTAAAGGTTTTATCCTACATCAGCGTTAAACGTTTAACGCCGGCACCTTCGGTTATATTTTATGTAAGTATAATATCTCAGATAGCAAAATAAAAGTTTCCAGCTTCAAATAATAAAAAAAAAATCTATCAAATTTGGCTCTATAATTTAATTTGAATAGAACAATGAGTTTGGAGGTCTCCTATTGCAGGGGTCGCCAACCTTTTGGACCTCAGGGACCACCAAACTCATAATTTAAAATCCCATGGACCAGGGACCCTGGGAAAATCCCCCCAAAAGTCTGCAGAAAAGTTCCACAACCCCGTTTTCCTACCGATTGGTCATTCTTTATTTGGGATTGCAGGATACTGTCTCCAGCTGCGTTCTCGGGGGTGGGGGGGGCGGGGAGAGACTTTTGGCTTCATGCAAGGAAAGCAGCAGAAGCTTTTCTTTCTCTCGCCCAAACTCCACCAGAAATGAGTCTTTGTGAGATTTGTCACAGCCTCTTGGAGCAGGAGGCCTTGCAGGGCAGAGTTTGGGGGAAGAGAATGAAAGACTTTTGCTGCTTTCCTTGCAGGCAGCCAAAAGCAAAAGAATGAAGCTGAAAGAAGCAGCCCGATGGCCAGGCAAGGCGCATGGGGCAAGTTCCCCCCTCTCTGCCCTTTCTTCCACCTCCCCTCACTACCTCGTGTTGTTCACAATGCGACCCAAGCCTTGTGTTCCCACGCAGCCTGGGTTGCTTTAGGGGTGATTCTGTGGACCACCAAAATTTTCTCGTGGACCCCGTGGTCCCCAGCCCACTGGTTGGCGACCACTCTTCTAAACCAACCTCCGACCACTGTCCTAGACCAACCCTATTCCACTTCAGACACATTTTCTTGAAGGATGCTTGAAATCTCACGCTATTCCTTATTTATATTCATTCTTATTCTCCTAGAGGTCTCTCTAGCGATCATGTATTAAGAAATAGCAAAGAGAACTGCACGTTGGAAAACAGTTTTAAGAGTCGATCTTTCATAACTAATCGTGTCTGTTACAGCTGATGCTTCCCTGAAAATAACAGACAGGTAGTCCTCAACTTAGAACAGTTCATTTAGTGACTGAAGTTACAACAGCACTGAAAAAAAGTGACTTACGGCCATTTTTCGCACTTATGACCGTTGCAGTCATGTGATTAACATTTGGATGCTTGACAACCGACTCACATTGTGATGGTTGCAGTGTCCTGGAGTCATATGATCCCCTTTTGCGACCTTCTGACATGATTCACTTAACAACAGTGCTTCTCATTGAAGAACTGCAGCAATTCACTTAACGAATGTGATGAGGAAGGTGGCAAAATGCGGCAAAACTCACTTAGCCAGTATCTCGCTTAGCAACATAAATTTCGATTGACCTCGATTGTGGCCATTAAGCTGTGAATGGAACACGTGGAATAAAGAACTGGCCACTGCAGTTGTGTCTCTTCTCCAAGTCCGTGAAGCCTGCATTTTCTCGGCAGCTCCTTCCTGTCACACATCTTCCTGTTTTCTTCCGTATTTTTCAGGGGATGGTAGCGTTTTTTTATGTCCTCCCAGGAGACATCGATACCCTCATTAACTACTTCAGCTTTGCAGTCTGGTTCTTCTATGGCTTAACTGTCTTGGGACTGATTGTGATGCGCTACACCAGAAAAGATCTGGAAAGGCCTATCAGAGTAAGTATCAGCCCAGAGAAGGGTTTCATTGGGCCACCATACCTCGCCTTCCCGTGCAAGCAAACTTTGCCAAATTACATCCAGTTCCCTAACGATATTTTTGCTTTCTCCTACAGATACCGCTGATCATCCCTTTTGTTGTGGTGCTAGTGGCCATCTTTCTGGTTCTGGCACCTATTATCAGTCAGCCTGAGCTTGCATATTTGTACTGTGTCCTATTTATTTTTAGCGGACTTATTTTTTACGTTCTTTTCGTCCATTATAAGTTTGGCTGGGCTCAAAAAATCTCAGGTAAGTGCATGGTTTTATGCGGATGGTTTCCACCTTAAATGGAAGAGGTTTTCCTTTTAAAAAAACAGAAAGAAAAGTTTAGCCCATTTTCCTGTTCCCAAGGAAGCAATAGAATGAATGCAGTCCTTAAAATATTCATTAAAAGAGGTGATAGGGGTGAATGGAATTGAGCAAAGCGAGCATCAATAAAGCAATGAAAGTTAATTCAGCTTTGGAACTACCCAAGAATGGAGGTTTTATAAATAACCTCACTGAACTTTATTGCAAATGGAAGCCGCTGGGGAATCATTAGCAAGTCTGCTAAGTTCTGAAATCCAAATAAAGGTGGATTTCGCTTTCAATTGCCAGCTCATTCTCCTTCCCTGAAACTTCATTTATGCACTGATGATGTTATCTAGTTTGGATAACAAAACATTTGTAAACAAAAAACAACCAAACTGAAAGAGGACCAAAGACTCATTTCAACCTCGGCCTTTATTGGTACCCAGCTGCGCCTTTTAAAGCATCATAGAAATCCTAGGTCAACCCTTTTATAATCTCTTTCCTAGAATAGGAAAAAAAAATGAATTCCAACTTCTTCCTTCAGAATGTTTTTGAAGACTTTCCTTTTTTTAAAACTGGTGGCACTTGTGGGTACCTGCTTACAAATGTTTGTCTTGTCAGAATGGAATTTGAAAAGTTGGAAATGTGAAGTGATAAAGTCCCATTTGTTCTTTTTGATGACAGCTTCCTAAGTATTCCTTCACATGTATCAAAGATCAAGAATTGTGCCCGAAACACCAGGCAAGGATGCCTCTTTAGGCCTCTGCTGGTTAGTTACGATGCTAAATCGGGACTTAATTTTCTTAAGTTAAAGGCTTTGCTGAATTGAAAAGCATGCCATGGAATTGAATTTCAGTGGAAAAAACGGTTTCTCTACTAATGGGGTGGTTTTATAGGGGTGGTGGTCAGTGATTCTGGAACCAGCAGACAGTGAAGTTGGGAAGAAAACTACATTGAGTTTTAGTTTAAGATGACTTCAGTTCAGCATTTACCCTCTGCTAACATCAGACAGCAATATACCGTTAATGTAGAATGCTGAGGGCACAAGGATTTGTGAAGAGATCTCTAAATGGATCTTGTTAGCTTGATCACAACCAGGCTCATGCAGTCAATCCTGATTGGAAACGTCTCCAGAAAAGAGAAAATATTAAAGTAATAGACTATCTTTAACTCTGATAACCTCTGTATTTCAGAGCCTATCACCCTGTATCTTCAGATGCTGCTGGAAGTCGTTCCATCGGAAGAAATTATTGAATGAAAAAAAAAAAAGATTCTATTTTTCCTTCTGAAACAGGGCAAAAACAGAATCCCCAAACTAGTTCCATTTTGCCCAAGCAAAATTTAGTGCTGGTGGTTTACGGAATATGCACGAGACAGCAAAGATCTTACAACATGTATGAGATGGTAAAGATCTTAACAAAGATATATTTTTTTTCATATTTACCCTGACTTATTGAGGAAGGGGGATATTTTTTGCATCTGTTATGGTTTAAAGATTTATAGCCAAGTGTGGGAAAATCAAGAATGGAAACAGGGAGTTTCCACTACTAAATTTCAAAACGAAAAGCATTTAACAACTGAGAATTACCTTCTGGGCAATCTCATAGGACAATGTGTCTGAGCTACCTGTTAACCAACACAACAGAAGAGGCCAACTCCTGCATCAAATAGGCTAGAGAGCCATATCCAAATGTCAAGGAGAAGCAAGAAGGATAGAGATGTTTACCTCTAAAACCAGAGGAAGTCAACAAGTCTATCCTTGGCCTCAAGAGAGCTTGAGACAGTGCAATGCTTTCTCTGTATTAAAAGCATTTTGCAAGATCAGTGGGTGGGATAATAGGGGTTTATTGGCCTGGCATGCGGTCTAATCCTCACAGCCTAGACAGGAATTGTCTACACTTTTCCTCCGGTGACATCCAAGCCTGTTATTTTCATTCCTGGGGAGCTTTAACTATGAGGTTGATGCAGAGTGTTACCTTCTGGACTTTTCAGTGTTGGATGTTTAAGAAACGAGGGCAACCGCATCGCACCCCAAAATCTAATTATCAAACTACAATTGAAAGATAACAAAGGAGTTTGTAGCATTTAAAAAAGACTGGTGAGATTTATTACTGCAATTTTGAAAACCTGTTAGGGTTAGGATGTCACTCCTCCAAACATGCACGAATGGTATCATTTTCTTTTTAGAAAATACCAAGTATGGGAGAATCCAGGGCCATATCATAGCTGGAACCACAGACTTTTTTACCGTTATTGAATATTAATTTTTGAAAATTACTCAGGGGCTTTTATAAAATCCAAGACTCTCTCTTTCAGAACTGCTCCCTAAAGGTTGCTGTTTCAATATTAGCCTCTGGGACTATTTTGACTCTATAGTAGTTTCAAGCCACAAATAATAAAAGATTTTACAAAACAGAGGCTAATCATTTTAAATTTTAATGAACACTTTTTTTTTTTCACAGAAAGACAACTAACGGTTAACAGGACCAATATTAATTCAGAGAAGGGCCAAATATTGGATTTATCTGAATGCAAAATTATAAACTTAGGTTGTTTGTAGACTTGTGCTTCCTTTGTTGTTTTGATAAACTTTGCACAGCTACAGAAGTAGAACAATTGGATTGTACAGTAACTATAGATTTTCAGAGAACTAGCTTGTATATTCTAACACAATTTCTCAACCTTTATAACTTTGCTGGCTGAGGAATTTTGGGAGTTGAAGTCCATACATCTTAAAATTGCTGGGGTTGAGAAGCACACTGTCAATAACCTTTTGCAAAACTTCCTATTCTGTGTAAGTTGCATCTATAATTACAGGTTTTCTGTATTCAGATTTTCTAATAAATGATATGATACGTGATACGCTTTTATTTTCTTCTGCTCAAGGAAGAAATATGTCATGTTTTGGTTGACCCAGCTGATATATTGCAATGCCACAACAAAGCTAAACACTTGAAAGCAAAACCAGGTATCTGAACATTTTCCGAAACAAATATACAAAACATTGTGTATTTGAAACTATTGTGAAAAAAGAACCAAAAGTTATTCGTTTGTAATGTTATATTACTGCTTTACCTTTCACAAAGGTAAAGGAAAATTATCTCATCATAGCAACTAGACTGAATTAGCATTACCCATTTTACATTCCTTAAGAACCGAGTCACAATAAATGGTCAGCCTATCCTGTTAGCACCTTATAGCATTACAAAACACAAAACTCAAAATTTTATTGCATTTTTTTTAAAAAAGCAAAAAAAAAAAAAAACCAAACATGCTCCTTTGTGAAGTATTTTGGTATAACTGGAACTGAAAAGCAATTTTCAATACTGTACCTATCCTGGTCTAATTGTTAAATTTGATGTAATTATCAACTTGTTTATCAAATTAAATTTCACTCAAAGCTGTTAAGATTCGTTTGCAACGAGCATGCTTAGAATTCTGTCAATAAATAGCAAATGTGGCACCCCATAGAAGTCCCATTGTCAACATTTTTAATAAAATGCTGAGACTGTATCACTATGAAAAAGGCATCCGATGCACATGCGAGGGGTTTTGTACTATCTATTTTAGATCCTTTAACCTTGTAGGGGATCAAAGACTAAAGGCCAAGGTATAATTAACAAGAGGATAAATCACTCTCTGAATCACTGTCTTTTGAAGATTCTTCTTCTTCCTCCTCTTCTTCTTCGCACACCCCTATAGGAATCTGATACACTTTCTTAGGACTTGATGCTGATAGAGAAAATCACAGTGTTGTTATACAGATGTATGAATACAGACTTTTTAAGAATACATTTATAAGCCAGTTTCCAACTTCACCATGAAATACACAGTGTAATCTGCAAACAGATCCCTGCATTAGTGCTATGCAAGCGTGAATTGGCCTGTGTCTCGATTGAGTTCTATGGGCAAGATACAGAGGCTCATGGAAGAGACCTATCCGATCTAATTACAGGCCGTTCCCAACGTACCTTTTGTTAAGTGATCGATCAACTTACAACGGCACTGAAAAAAATCGAGTTATGGCGGCTTTTCATATTTAGGATCTTTACAGCACCCCGTAGTCATGTGATCAAAATTTGGATGCTTTGGCAACTGGCATGTACTTATGACAGCTGCAGTGTCCCGAGTCATATAACCCCCCATTTATAATCTTCCCAAGCTGGCTTCCGACAGGAATAGTCAATGAGGGAATCTAGATTCAAAAGGTTGCAAAACGGGATGTATTCACTTCACTGTCTTGCTTAGCAAACAGAAATTTGGGCTCAATGGTGGGCGTAAGTTGAGGACTACCTGCATCTCCATCTCCAGTGTGGTAAAATGAAATGTGGCTACCTGTCTTCCCCAGAAGAGTTTGCAAAAAATACAGAAGGGCTTCCCATCCCTTTTAGACGTGAAGATACTGCACATAAAACAATGAACTGCTTACCTATGCAGAATGGGCTTCTTTCCTCATTATCATCCAAGTAATCGAAGTCAAATGATACATGATGGTTCTGTTGGCAAATTTAAATGCCTCATTACACCATGCAAATGCTTTAGAAACAATCTCTCTCTCTCTTTTACTATTTACAACTCACTTTCTCTTTTAGCAAGCTGCACCAAGGTTCCTTCTTCACTTTTACAAGGAGTATGGTGGGCTCGTCACCCTTAAGGACACACGTTGACTCCTCTCTGAGGATGCTTCTCTGCAGCTCCATATCGGCCAAATAAAATTTGCCGTTTGCCGAAGCGCTGCACAAATGTTAAAATATGTGTTTGTCAGAAAGCGATAAAACCGGGCTTCGAAAAGATTTTGACCCTACAGATCGATCTACCTGAAAGCGATCCTCTGTTCAAAAATCCTGCAGTCGTAGTTACTAATATTTTGCAATTTTACCTTTACAACAACGGCGTCTTGCTTATCAAACCATTTTATGGTTGGATGGAAGCTGAAATGTTAAAACAGTGCGTTAAAGTGGAGTTTTCAAATATGAATGCTGCTCGTATGCGAAGTTAGATGAAATACTCATGAAGTAACTTAGCTTATGAGCAGAGCTTGTTACTCTTCCATGAAATAATCTCAATCAAATTGGTCTCTTCTGTCCCGCCCCACCCCAAAATCAGCAAAACAAAGGATCCAACTGAAAAGCCGAATATTTATTCATTGACTGAGATCTTGGCCCTGACCCGCAATCCAACAGTTGAACTGCTTTACCCTACCAGTTAGATATGTAATTGCATTTTGCACAGATAGATGTAACTGTTCAAGCTTTACATTATAAAACTAAAAATAAATATGCCCTGAAATATACAAGTAGGGAAAAAACATTTAAGGAAAAAATAATTACATATTGAAATTGGAAGAGTAAAATATTAAAAAAGAATTATTATTTTTTGAAATCCCATGTGTGGAAAAATAAACATTATTTGAATCCAAAGCCATGCAGCCACAAAACAATATGCATAATGCGTGAAGCAAAAAAAGAAAAAAGGAAATCAATTTTGGGGAATTTGCAGTTTGTGGTTGTGTTTATGTGTGTGTATGTGTGTGAGAGAGAGAGAGAAAGAGAAAGAGAGAAAAAGAGAGAAAAAAGAGAGAGAAAAAGAAAGAAAGAGAGAGAGAAAAAAAGAGAAAGAGAGAGAGAGAAGAGGAAAGGAGGGAAAGAGAATTTTTGCCTGCTTGCCTTTCATTCTTCCACAACTTTTCCTGGAAATAATTTTGCTATGATAAGTTTGCTACCTCTTCTAGTTCTTCAAAAGAGCACATGATTTACGTGTCAAATTAGACATTTTTCACCCACTGCTCAAACAACCCTAACTTTGGACTTTCTCTGAGAAGTTTTAAAACTCTGCAGTTGGGAGATCTGCCAGGAGCCTTCTAAAAGCAGCCCTTTGAACCCAGGATAGACAAGGAGAGCGCAAGAAAAACATTACCCTCCACCCTTCTTCATAGAACTAAGGCACGTTATATGAGTCCCATCAAATAAAGGTTGATACCATTTAGGCGAAATCTGCAGGATGTCTTCGTTGTTCTTATTTTGCACCGTTTCGTCTACATTAAGAAATAAAACAAGTTAAATTCGCATGGCATCTCTCTTTACCAGATTTCAATGGGTAAAACTGAACACAATGTTCCAACTGCATTTAAATTAATTAGAAAAGTGGTTTCAAGGTAAAGATACCTCACAAAAGAAAAATAGTCCGTATCTCAGTATATTTCAAATGGCAACCATCAGCACTATTATTGCTGAAGCACACACACACACACACACACACATATATATATACACACAAAACACACAGAGAGAGAGAGAGAGAGAGAGAGAGAGAGAGAGAAGTTTGCATACATATTTTAATTAATCTTCCGCAGTCTTATCATTAGGAATCAGATTTTTTTTTCACAGAACATAAACTAATACAGTTAGAAGGGACCACGGAGGTCTTCTAGTCCCACCTTCAGCTCAAGCAGGGGACCCTGTTATCTTTCCAGTTTCTCAGAACAAAATTCCTCCTGTGGGTATTTACCCTATTCCACCCGTTCATTTGCTACATCGTACTTACCACAGTGATTTTCTAAAGATACTTGAGAATAACCATCATGGATGATATCTTGGCTGTGCTGCGATTTCTGTACAAGGGGCAAGGGCTCTTTGCTTGAGGTCTCTGAGCTCAGAGTTGCAGGATTTGAGACATTCTGCTCAACAGGTTCAGCCTCCTCATTTCTTTCATCCGTGGGGGGATTTAATCTGAAATGGACAGAGAATTTCGTGGCCGAAATGTTGAATCAGCAGAGTTTTTCCAGCCAAGAGAAAACAGATTTAGCTTCAAACGGCATATGTTTTAAAATTCTCACATCCTTTTATTTATTTTTTTGCTAATGCCAAAGAAGCACCTGTCTTCTATTTTGCTGCTAGCGACAGGAGAAAAAACAACGCTGCAACGTTGATGCTCTCAAATGGCCTTGGATTTTGCTGATTAGACAGGTTTGTTGTTATAGAAATGGCCAGTATAAGAGTAGAAAGTTGAGTTTCATGTTACTACTTTATTCTACTGCACCAAAAGGAATTGGAAGTCAATGCTTTCCTTTTCCCCTTTCTCCTACACGTTTTTCCCTTTCCCTCTTTTATTTTCCCTCTTAATTTTTCTTCGCATTTCGTATTTTGATGCATTAATAAAATATTCAAAGAGAGATACTCTCAAGTGGTCTCACTGCAAGAATTTGTTGGCAGGGAAGCCAGCGTGCTATGAAAGGAAGCACATTTTTTGACTCCTGTCAAAAATCTTTCCATCAGCTGTAGGTTTTTCCAGAGACTTTAAGGAGGCCAACCACTCAAAATGCACTGTAGTTTTTCTTTGGTAATTCATAAAAACATACCAGAATAAAAGGGAAATGCACAAACACTGAAATGTCTATCTGTTCTCGGGAGATCTATTATAGTCACCCAGCAAGACTAAAAAATTGAGAAGAATCTCCCAGAAAAATCTGAACCTACCTGGGCTTCAGTCTTAGGAGAAACCTTCAGTCAAAACAAGCATTAAGCCATTAGAATACAGGTAGTTCTCAACTTACAACCATCTGTTTAGTGACCTTCGATGTTACAACAGCACTGAAAGAAGTGACTTATGACCAATTTTTACACTTATGGCCATTGCACCATCCGTGATCCAAACTCAGGTGTTTGACACCTGTCGTGTATTTATGACTGTTGCACTGTCCTCTGGTCTTGTGATCTCACCGTTTGTAACCTTCCCAGCTGTCTTTTGACAAGCCAAGTCGATGGGGGAAGCCATATTGACTTAATGGTCATGTGATTCACTTAACAACACAGCGATTCGCTTAATTATGGCAAAATTCCGTAAATGGAGGCTCAACTCACTTAACCACTGCCTTGCTTAGCGCAAATACACAAATTCTTCGTTTTGCCATGGATTTAACATTATCAGCTGCTGTGCTTTTATCCAGTATTTCAGGGCAACGCATGCCAAGTTTCTTAAGAACACACTATTGATCATATATCGAGATATTATGTCCAGCAAAAGTACGTGCTCTCCTTTTCTGAAATTTAGGAAGGAAAAAGATCCTAACACATATCATTTTTTTTAATAGAAACATTTTTACCCTTTCTCCAGCTGATCAGCTGCGCTGTTTAACAATACCTCTTTTATTTTTTAAAAAAAGAATGTGCAAACATTGAAAGACTTTTTATCTAATAAGGACAAAAACATTTCGCTAGAAAGCCATTCTCTAGCCAGTTGGAAAGAGTTGAGCTTTATTCTTGGTTCTTTGCCACCCCCTAGTGGGTAGCAAGGTTTAAATTTTTGTGGAAGTTTGTAGACACGAATGGAGCTTTCTGGCAGGAAAATGGAAATGTGGAGCTTCCAACCATGATCATCTGTGCCCTGAGATGGGAGGCAGGATGATTCGTAGGAGAAGGTCTCCTGAAAATACACAAGAGTCATTTTCTCCCCTTGATCTGGGCCCACCACGCATGTGCTCAAGAGAAGTGTTGCTCTCCTCTTTATGAAGTGATATGAAAAGTCTAAGAGCAACACAGGGGAGAAGGCACTGAGATTTCACAAACTACCTCAAAGCAGTGACTTTAATTAAACGATTCCCTATAATATGAGCAAATAATTAAAGTTTTTGAAACAGAAGAACAAAGAAAGGATGCTTTCAAGTCTAAAGCTATCATTTCTAAAGTTTTAAAGCTATCGGGGTTCTTGACCTATTAATCTCTTATAAAATAAAAATGTCTTTTGATGTGGTTCTTTACATAAGGACTGTGCTTGTTATTACGCCAGGCCAAAGTGTGTGTGTCACCAACAGTGGGTGGTAGGTAGGAAACCCATGGCTGTATTTGCAGAACTGGGGAAGTGCCATATCCTTACTCCTTGGTGTCTGGAGTAACCTAATGTCAACCATGCATTCAAGGGACTACTTATTTCCTGAAACAGAGACAGATCAACACATATCACAGCTATAAATATCCAGCTTAACCTCATGAATTTTATCCTTACCTCCCACAACCATATTATAGGGCGTGAAACTATATACCAATGTAGTTCTTTAACTAGTATGATCGCAACATGATTCTGAATAGCCACCATTCAGTTTTAGTGCATTATCCATAAAATATATCTTACAATGCAGGCTTTTCTTTTTTCTCATGGGGTATTTCAGCCTCATTAAATAATTTCTCAAGTTCCTGTATATGCTCGGGATTGTCCACTCCCAATCCAGTAGATAGAATTTCAGAGCGAATATTATATTCGTTGATTGAAGTTTTCAGGTCTTGAAGTTTAGTGACTCGAATCTAGAATTTAAAATAACAAACAAACAAGGGACTTTTTTTTTTGCAGGCTTATTCTTTGAGGATCCAAATTATTGCTTGACTCTTGGTCCTACTTATGGCCACAATCTCATCCTTTTATTGTTTTATTCATTCTCTTAGAATATGAGTATCTACAGAGATTGCATTTTAAATTTTGGACATTCCTAGACCGAGCCAGATCTTACTGTCCTTCTCTTGGTTCTAAGATTTAAGTTTCAATAATGTAAAAAAAAAACCCAATACAAAAAGAAAGCAATTTTTTTGCTGAAAATTAGAATTACAAGCTACTGATCGTATCTATTACTCAGAAGAAACTACCTGTTCACTCTAATTTCAAAACCTGGGAAAACTTTCAAAATGGGTAGTTGACTTACAACCATTCATTAAGTGACTGTTTAAAGTTACAGCACAAGTGATAAAGATGACTTACAACCAATCCTTGCACTTATAATTACTGTAGCATTCCTCCCCGCCCCCATGGCCATGTGATCGAAATTAGGGTATGCTTGGCAACCAGCCCATATTTACAACATCCCAGAGTCACGTGATTGCCATTTATGACCTTCCCAGTTGTCTTCTGACAAGCCAAGTCGATGGGAGAAGCTGGAGTTGTTTAACCACCACGTGATTCACTAAACAACCACTGCAGTGGTTCACTTCCACGTGACAAAAAAAAAAAAAAAAAAGGCTGTAAGAATCAGGCGTGGCTTGCTTGAGAACTGCTTTGCTTAGCAATGGAAGTTCTGGCCTCAACTGTGGTCTTAAGTCAAGGGCTACATCTATTGCAGGTAGTCCTTGACTTACAGCAGTTCATTTAGCGACTGTTCAAAGTGACAATGGCACTGAAAAAAGTGACAATGGCAGTGATTCATTTAACAAATGCGGCAAGGAAAGTCGTAAAATGGGACAACATTCACATAACAAACGTTTCACTTAGCAACATAAATCTGGGGCTCAACTGTGGTCATAACTTGAGGACTACCTGCATTTTCAAAGAAAGGAAATAAGGAACAGTTGAATTCTGCATTACATACCACCGGATCTACCCAAATTGTATTTCCCAGGACAAGGGCTACTTTGGCTTCATGTGGTTTTCCTCTGATTTTGTCATTAATACATCTGGATACCTAACAAAAAAAACAAGAAACAAAGGCAATCTTCAGAAAACAGACAGTGTTCCTTTTCAATGACTAAATAGCATTCTTTTTAACAGAAGCTTACTGCAGTAGCGTAGTGTAGCCATAGGGCAAGCAATTATATGAACAGGTGCCTATTGAATATATTAATTAACTCTTAAGGAATTCAGTGTATCCCAGTCATTGTTTGGCACAATGAAAGAATTAAAACTAAAACCAAGAGGGGAGGGAGAGAGAGAACCAAATTGGCTGTTTCTTGTTTAAAATCAGGCACTAGGCACCATTTAGTGTGATAGTTCATCAAAACATCTGGAAAAGATTACATCTGGGATTAGTAAGAAAAAAAGTATTCACTGTTTGCAAAGATCAAAAACTAAATCAAACCAACTCCAAGTTTTCTCAACTTACTTTTGGGTGCCATTCGGCTTCGTTATCAATGGGTTTAACCCTACAAACGATGAATTCCACAGCCTGAGGAGGCAACGCTTGAAATTGTTCCGGTAAACTAAGCAAGTGTTGATTTTGAACATAGCCAGTTCTGCCTTCATCTATGTACTTGATGTCAACGTTGTAAAACGCACCGGGCTCTTCTTTTTGTTCCACGTCTAGCACTTGGACCCTTTAAGAGAACGCAGGGAAAAGACATCAGGAATTTCCAACTATTAAAATATGTACAAATTGGCCTTGTATGTATGTGTACAACCTACCAGAGCGTATGATTCGGCGCAACAAAGAGAACTACGCATTCAGTTCATATTCCCTATGCTTACAACCTGCAATCATCTTTGGCCCCTTAAGATTCTGCTGCTCATGAATAAACAAATAATAAAAAAAAGATTCTGCTGCTCAAACTATCCTGTTTGGGGAGATAACTTTAAGGGTGAGTTTTCTATAGCCCACAAGGAGCCTGGCTATCCCTGCATAGGGCCCAGTTATGGTCCTATTCGTTGCCCTAGTAGTAATAAAGGCAGACCCCACCAAGAGTGAATCCATGGGCACGGTGCCATTCGGTGAAACAGCACGGTCTGCTTCTATTTCTGATTTAGACCATCACTGTACCAGTCATTACACAGATAATCCTCTGATTGTGTCCACTCATTTAGTGGCCGTTGTGGAAATTGTGATAGTGCTAAAAAATAAATAAATGGAGGTACATTTGGTTGTTGATGTTCCAGCCGTTGCTGCACCCCTAGAATTGGAATCTGGGCGCTCTGCTCGCAGTTGTGACATTGCAGGGAGCTGAAGTCGCGTGATCCCATTTGCAAATTGCTCTGGTGAGTTGCTCCTGCTTTCTCTGCAGCCTGTCTCCGTCCTCCTGCAACTGCATTGTTTCTGCCCTGCCCTCTCGCAGCCTGTGGCATCCCCCCCACTGCTGTGCACTCCTCATCCTGCACCCCTTAACACTCGTCACATTTTGAAGTTATGGGGGCAGCTGGGACTGCTCTTGCCATGTGGTGCGGTCCTTTGGCACTGTGCTTTATGACTGCCCTGCTTAGTGACGGCTAAATTAATTTATTTCTACAACGCTCCGAGTATCCTACCTGTGGAAAGAATTTTCTTCCCGCAGTCCATACATTGCCAGCTTCTCCACTTTGTCCACTGGGGTACAATTGCTAGATTCCTGATAATAGTCCTTCATCTCTGTTTCAAGAGCTGCGTAGAGATTACCCCATTTCCCTACCACACGGCCTAAGTAGTTTGTGGCATCCACAATGAAAAGAGGCAGTATCTGAAAATAGAAAACACACGTAAAAAGCACTGCATATTTCCCGGAAGTCAACAAAGGAAGATTTCTACCAGTAATTAGATTTACTGTAAATGTCCATTAAAAATGCATCTGTTTTAACTGTTTTCTCCCCATTCTCTTTCTTGTACGAGGCTTTTTTGGGAGGGGAGGGGTGGAAGCTAGCACACAAAGAATAGGAAACTGAAGCAATTCTGCAAGATCTTCTAAAATAATGGAAGGCATCGTGCAGTTGAGGTGACAATCCAGTTGCAGAGTAGGATGTATCTAGTAGGATCAAGATGAGACAGCAGGAAAGGTGTTTTCTGTGAGAAAGTTGGAACAAGCATCCCAATCTGAACCGATTTAGAAACCGAAGGTGTTTTGTAGACTCACTGTTATAATTCCACCTGTTTGCAGAGCTTCCTCAGCTACTTTTGAGGGTGCATCAATTTGAAGGTTAATGCGATGGCGATCTGGACAGCGGTTTTTATTTCTGTATGATCGTAAGGAGACAGGGTTAAAACAACAAAGGAATATTAGGGTAGCAATTCCAAAATATCGCACTGTTTGGAATCACGGAACAAAGCAAGCAGTGGCGGAAAAGGAATCGATACCATCACAGCTTGTATGGAGAACACGGGGGAAGAAACGTCCACAAAACAATAGTTTACAAACGTGTCACTGGAGCACCGCAGATTGCTATGGGGAATAAATCGAAGGTTCTGTGAATCCCAGGTGAGAGCCACAGAGGGTGTCCCTGCATTCCCGAACAGTTCACTAAAGGAATCAAGCAAAAGGCTGCATCGCAGTGATACAACACAATGTTTTGCATGGAGCCTTGCCTAATGTGAAAGATCAGAAGTTGCTACGGCAAATCCATGATTTGATGCTGCTGTTCTCCATTCCTTAACAAGTTGCTTTGAAAAAAAGCCAGATTTTACACTTCCTTCCTCTGCTAATTGAATAGATCGGGTGTTTCACCTCATCAAAGGACAATACGATGTATCAGTAGCCAGAAACATTCTCCAAAACTGCTGCCATTAGATTGCTGTCTGTATGTTTTGCTAAGTGATCCCCTCATAGCAGGAGAACAAGGTAAACAGCTGCTGAAACTAATGACCTTGGCCCAAAGGTGCTTTTAGAAAGGCAACTGGGCTTTGTTTTACCTTGAAGAGGTTTTGGTTCTCATGCAGGAAGCTGAACTGACGAAAGAAGCTTCTTGGATGAGAAGCGAAATGTCTTTGAGGAAAACAAAGTCCAGTTGCCTTTCGAAAAAGCACCTTTGGGACAACCATGACTTGGATGGCCGAGAATCTCCATAAACATAAAATGGCCTTGGCATTTCCTTACTTGCATATTCCATAGGCCTTAATGGAAGAACAAAACGGCTGCCCGCTTCTCTTTTCCTCTTTGGCTTCCAACACTCCCCTGGTAAAGTTGTACAGGTCAGGGGGGATGAAAGCTTCTGCCCGTTCCAAATAATTCAACACTCCAACTACATGGCAGGCATTTTTCTCTGTCAACAGCAAGATGGATTTGGCTTTGCTCTGTTCTTTTCCCAGTGATGGACTCTTTGCACGGAGGGAAGGAAAATGTCAGAAGAACAGAAGAAGAGAAGTATTACATTGTGAGTTGGACAGAAAATTCCAGGCATAAATTCAAATTTTTTTTGAGGGGGGAGGAAGGAATTAATAAGTAGTTTTTGGTAGAGCGAGACACTCAATGGCCACTGGAGTGTATTTGAGAGAAAAGAGACCCAGTGAGAGCTTTTCTATTTGAAATTGCAAAACTGTATTTCATGCTGACAATTTATTAGGATTTACTCAGACCTTTTCTACTGAATTTTGGAAGTTGGCAGACAGGCCATGTAAGCGGGCACCAAAGATTCTTGGAGTTGGTGGAAAGCTGAAATGAATGACACGGGTCGCGTCTGTAAATTTTGCAGCTGCTGTGCAGTCATCGGTTAAAACTGGAAACAAAAACCAGAAGGTCCATAATGCAAAAGCCTCTTTTTACCTGCTGTCAAAAACTGGAAAGAAAATCCGTATTTCTAGATACATCTAGCTCACTTTATAATCAGCACAAATCAGAGGTGGTATTCAGCAGGTTCCGACCAGTTCTGGAGAACCGGTAGTGGAAATTTGGAGTAGTTCTGAGAACCGGCAAACACCACCACCTGACTGGCCCCGCCCCCATCTATTTTCTGCCTCCCATTGAGTCCCAGCTGATTGGCTGGGTCTTCTTTGGTTGCCCTGCACAGGAGAACAGAGCTGGAAAGCAGGTTCGTGGGGCGGGGAGGGAATGAAGATTTTTCAGTATCCTTCCCCTGCCACACCCACCAAGCCACACCACACCCAAAGAACTAGTAGTAAAAATTTTTGAATCGCACCACTGGCACAAACCCCCACAGGATTCTGTAAGCTTAGTTCTAACATAAAGACTCATCTGCTGATTCTTAAATTAATGTTCCTGCATATCGCTTTCAGACTACTAATTAGTTACTTGGGAGGAAGCTTACAAATAAGGCAAACCACATCCTTTATAGGCAGAAAACCACCTGGAGCAGGTAGACAAGATGGGTTAATAGAAGCATCGAGAATAAATACTGTTCTTACTAATTCCATCTCTTGTTCTTCATTATAGGATTAACTCCTACCCTAAGGATTAATGAGGCCATCATTATAGCTGATCATAATAGAATTGATGCCGGTCTTAATCCAAAATTGAAAAATGCTTCATAAATTAGACTATAAAACTATAAGTAGAGAACTAAAGAGTCAATTGGTTTTGGAGAAAGAGCCTAGAGAAGATACTTACCCAATACAACATGGGTTCCAGGGCTGATTGTTTTGTTCCACTGCTCTACAATATAATCAGCGTGAAATCCAATTCCCGGGTTCATTTTCAAGCAAAAGATTGAAATGCTCTCTACTGCCTGATCATAAAAATGAGGACGCAATCAAGTTATATAATATGCAATATAAGAGAATCTTTGTTAAAAGCTGGGTTGACAGAAAATAACTGAGTCATACAATGTGATTCATTTATTTGGATCAGAGTCCATCCATTATTACTTAGTTTTCTATTACAATGCCCTGAACAAACCAGGCCTCACATCCTTTCTTAGCTTTCTTTAAACGCAGGTTCTAACACAGGGGCATCCAAACCGTGGCAAGTTTTAGGGAAGGAGATACCTTGTATACCATGTCTCTTTCTTCCACACAACTTGTAAAAATCAGCGTCTTCTGAGCATCTGTAGGGGTAAAATCTAAGGTTTGAAGTAAAGTAGAGATCCGGTCACACTCAAGGCAGAGCTGCACAACCTGAAATTTACATGTTATTCAAATGTGTTAGAATGTAAATAGCTCCTCATTTAAAAAAAAGCCTTTTGGCAAGTGATTTAGAGATGCAAACCTAACCCCATCAGGATTATTTTCTTAGGCAGAATCCACAATCATGTTTTTTTTATACACAGTCAAGGACCAAAAGATAGAAATCCCCAATGGTCCAGCTGACACTCAATTTGATCCTTTGTTCTGAGTGAACAAAGTAGGTAGTCCTTGACTTGCAACTGCAATTGAGCTTAAATTTTCTACTGCCAAGTGAAACATTTCTCAAGTGAATGTTGCCCCATTTTACGACTTTTCTTGCCACGGCCGTTGAGTGAATCACTGCAGATCATGGTTGTTAAAAGAATTTGGCTTCCCCAAATTGTGGCAAAAGATGATCACATGACCCCCGTCCTAAATAGGAATCAGTTGCTGAGCCTCTGAATTTTGATCACATGATCTTGGGGATGCTGCAACGGTCATTAAGTGTGAAAAACAGTCGTAAGTCACTGTTTTCAGTGCCGCTGTAACTTTGAATAGTCACTAAATGAACTGCTGTAAGCCAAGGACTACCTGTACTGAATTCTAGAGATGCCATAACACATTTTTTTTTTGCACAGAGGAATCTTTTACCACCTGGATACTCTTATATGCCACGAGCTGAGCAGCACAGAAATCTGACAATTTTTATGATTTATTTTTTATGCTTTTACCTACTAAGAGCTACCTCATTTGGTGCCTTCGCCAAATCCAAACCTGCTATTATATAGACAAGAGATATATAAAAAAAACCTTTTACCTGTTGCACTTTCCCATATATGGCAGCTTCTCCCATGGAGGTGATTATAATATATGGATCATTCATGAATTCTTTTGTTAAAACTTCTATATTTTTGTCCCAGTGGTTTCCAACAGCAACAATCTGCTGTGGCACAAACTCCTTTTCTTCAACGCTCAAGTTAGATTTGTAGTATTGTAAAATAGTAAGTATCTGTAAAAAGGGATTAAAGTTTAGTTTAGTTTATACTTTGTCATTGCACCTCGTATAACAAAATTAGTTTTTCAGCCTTTTTTTCCACAATTTTCACCGTTTCATAATTATCTTCTGCCTTTACAATAGAGAATTGCTAATTCAGGAGATTATGAATGGAAATGATGGGACCAGAAAGCAACTTCTTACTAGCTGCTCTTTTGAAATGAACTGGGATTTTGGTATACGTATTGTTAGATATTTACTTGTTCTCTTTTTCTTTCCATTCCATTAAATCAAGTTCAAGCTCTCTGCATCCCAATGAAACGTTTTATTTATAGGGAACAATATAAAAGTACAGCTGATTTTTATTTTTTGGCAGAAGGGAAAAAATCTTTTCTTCCAATTAAGAGCTATAGTGACATAGTGGTTAGAGTGCAGTATTGCAGGCTACTTCTGCTGACTGCCAGCTGCCTGCAGTTTGGCAGTTTGAATCTCACCAGGCTCAAGGTTGACTCAGCCTTCCGTCCTTCCGAGGTAAGTAAAATAAGGACCCAGATTGTTGGGGGCAATTATGCTGACTCTGTAAAAACTTCTAAGAGAGGGCTGTGAAGTGGTATATAAGTCTATTCCTTCATCAGAGGCCAAACAGTGCTTCCAAGCACAAACTCACCTGCTCCTTGGCATCAGAGAACAATACATCAACTTCATCAAACACCAGATGACACAACCTAAGGAAGAGTAAACTATGATGCTCAAGCAGCCGCAAAAAGATAGGTGGGGTTGTTACCACGATTTCACCTGTCAAATGAAAAGGAATGCATCACTGAAACGAGCTCATTGGGTTCGAAAGTGGAAATAAAACATTATTAACTTAACTGTTCAAATACACTGACACTAGCTGTACCTCTGAAGGGCACTCTAGCCTGGAGGAAAAGGGGAATTCTGAGGTAATTTGTTATGCTTTAGGGCTTAGAAACCTCATTACCTGAAACAAAGAAAGCTTTCATTTGTTTTGGCTATCGATACAGGTAATCCTCAGCTTATGACTACAATGGAGGCCAACATTTCTGTTTCTAAGCCAGACAGTTGTTGAGTGAGTTTTGCCTAATTTTACCTTTCCTTGTCCCAGTTAAGTGAATCACCGGTGGCTGTTAAGTTAATAACATGGTTGTTAAGTGAATCTGGCTTCCCCAACTTTGGTTGTCAGGTCGCAAAAGGGGGAATCACATGACCCTGAGACGCTCTAATCGCCATAAATATGAATCAATTGCTAAACTCTGATCATGACCTTGGGGATGCTGCAATGGTCGTAAGCGTGGAAAACGGTTGTAAGCCACTTTATTCAGTGACGCTGTAACCAAATGGTCACTCAATGAACTGTTGTAAATCGAGGACTGCCTGTAGTTACAGTTAAAACGTTTTAAGAGGCAGCAGCATTATTCTAAAATTCTTTGCCACATGCTTAGGGTTTTGTTGTGCCTTTATCTGCTCATTCTTTCCCGTGGGCAATACAATTAATCAAGTTTTGCTTACATCCTCTTGGAATTCTTACACTCTTGATTTCTTCCTTTTTCATTCCCAGGAAAAGCAACATTGGGTGGAGAGGCCTGGAGCAATGGCTGTACATTTTCAGGTGCTCAAATACCAGTTCTGCTCTCCTCTGGCCTGGGCATATGACTAATGCTACTGGCTACATATACAAAACAATATACAGAGATGAATCAGAAATATGTAGATCATACTTCTTAAAAAAGCCATTACAAACAATACAAACTTGTGCAGAGACCCAAACATTTTTAAGAACAGAATTACAGAGTTGGAAGGGACCTTGGAGGTCTTCTAGTCCCACCACCTGCTTAGGTAGGAAACCCTACACCACTTCAGACAAATGGTTATCCAACATCTTTTTAAAAACCTCCAGTGTTGGAGCGTTCACAACTTTTGGAGGCAAGTTATTCCACTGATTAATTGTTCTAAGTTGCTTCTCTCCTTGATTAGTTTCCACCCATTGCTTCTTGTCCTGCCTTCAGGTGCTTTGGAGAATAGCTTGACTCCCTCTTCTTTGGGGCAGCCCCTCAGATATTGGAACACTGCTATCATGTCTCCCCTAGTCCTTCTTTTCATCAAATTAGACATACCCAGTTTCTGCAACTGTTCTTCATGTTTTAGTCTCCAATCCCCTAATAATCACTGTTGCTCTTCTCTGCACTCTTTCTACTCTCAACATCCTTTTTACATCTTGGCAACCAAAACTGAATGCAGTATTCCAAGTGTGGCCTTACCAAGTTGTTATAAATTGGTATTTTACGAGTTTGAGTACCACTGCATGTTTTATTATTGCTATCTTTAAATCACTGCCATCTTTCCAAAATCATTTTTCCTTCTATGCAAAGAATTTCATTAAAAAAACATGTTAAAAAATGCAACAGGAGAACTAGGAACAATAATAACCTCACTGTAGCCCATTTTAAGTACTTGCCAGTAGTTAAGGGAATTGTGAAGTATTAATTGAACATTCCACTTACACCTTGTCTAGGTGATAACGATATGTAGCAATTTCTTGACTGCAAAAATGTAATGATTGGCAGAAGATATGAAAGTGGGTCACTTTCAGAAGAGATAATAAGCGAATCATATCCACGTGCTATTGCAGGCCAGGAGTAAGACTGTACATGATTAGGTCCTTGGAATTGCTTTCTTAAAAGCTCCTTTCAGAAAAGGAACAAAGAATAGTTGGTAAGATATTGCTTGCAAGAAATAGAACAGAATACAACACTTAATTTAACCAAGTGTAATTAGGCATACAGGAAATTTTCTCCTGTGCAGAAGCTCTCAATGTACTTGCAAAGCAACAGAGTAATAACCATCGTAACGATTATATAGTAAGAGGGGGTAGTAGAGAAGACGAGAAGGATAATACTACAGTCATGCAACACTGGTAAACATACTTAGATGTTGAACAATACCGTGAAGATTAGGTATTCAGCAGTCACGGCACAAGGGAAAAAAACTGTCCCTGTGTCTAATTGTTTTGGCCCCCCCGAGGGGAGGAGTTGAAACAATTTATATCCAGAATTCGAGGGGTCTGTAGCAGGAGTGAAATTCAAAATTTTTCCCTACCGGCTCTGTGGGTGTGGCTTGGTGGGACCCAGTCTCTAAAAGGAAGAAGGTGGGTGGGTGTGGGTGGGGACAACTGATTCAAATTGTCCCCTACCACCTCTCCTGAGGTGGTGCAAGGTGACTGAATGTCACCACTGGACTGTATAGATATTTTCTCAGCCCTCTTTCTGGCTCGTGAAATGTACGGGTCCTCAATGGAAGGCAGCCTGGTAGAAATTTTTTTTTTGGCAGCCTGTACCTCTCCTGTTCGCTGCTGTACCAAACCAGAATGTTCTTGGAGTATAACTGACAGACTCAATACTTTCTCTGTAGAACTGTACCGTTCCTTGGGCAGGTTGAACTGCCTAAGTTGACACAGGAAGAACATTCTTTTCTGTTGTGCCTTTTTAGTTATACTTCTAAGTTAGGTGTCCATTTCAAATCATGGGAGATTACAGAACCCCAAAATTTGAAGGACTCAACTATTGAAGGAATCAAGATTAAACTGTCATTAAATAAAACTATACAATGCCCTTCCTCCCTTTTCTGATACGCCACCACCAAAATGCAAATAATTTAGCTAAACGAGCCTGGGACGGTTTTGGTAGTCCCAGAAGCATGGGCTATTAATTGTTGTTAACTTCTAATATCACTATGCTGAATGTTGCAAAAAAAAATTAAAATAACCATGAAGGATTATTCAAATGCTTTTGTTCAGAATGATGTATAGTCACTGCTATTTAAGGAATTTGATCAAGGCATCACCAATATGCTTTTCTGCAATATGGTAAATTATATCCTATTGAAGATTGTAAATACTACCTTTTTTAAAGCTGGAAACAGTGGTGCGGTTTCTAGAGATGAACAAGGTTCGATTGTATTACTCAGCACAACAGGAAGACACGTAGTGGTGATATTCAGCTTAAGCTCCTAAAAATAAACACCAACGAAAGGCTAAAAGGCCACATATAATCTTTTTGAGTGTTCAACTTGACACAAGTGTTTTCTACCTTGTTTATTTCTTTTTTTACAAAATAAACAAAAACACCCCAAAAATAAAGACAAATATACAGGTCCCAGGTTAATTGGATCCTGTAATATCCAAGAAACTTCTAAGACAGTGCAAATCTGAAGATTCAGTTTTATGCCTTCATTAAAACATGAAACGTTAAAACATTTCTCCTTTGGGAAAAACGTTCACACAAATTAAAACATTAAAAGTTAACTTGTTTTTTGAATTACCTCAGTTTCTTGTTCAGTGGCAATTTTCAGAGGATCAGGGTTTAAAAACTGTAGAAGCCTGAAAACACACAAGTTGATTTTTTAAGTATCCATTAAAAGTTCATTCATTCAGCCTTTGTTTTTCTAAGCTTTACAAACAGTTGAGGGTCAAATATGAGGGAGGCTCAGCCAATCTCATTGTACACATGTTGTACTCTGACAATAAATGTAATAATAATATACAGCTTCTTGCTGTTTTGGGTTGTATTTGCTGGTTCATTCACTTAACAAATTTTGGCCCCAAGTCTCAGCAATCCAAATCCCAAATTAGAATGTTTCTTAATTTAAACTAATGATAGATGTTATAAAGAAAGACTTATTCAGCTGTTAAAAACACAACATCCTGGAAAAGAAAAGCAATGGTTAGATACTGCTTGCAAGAAATAGAACAAAATAGAACACTTAATTTAACCAAGTGTAATTAGGCATACAGGAAATTTTCTCCTGTGCAGAAGCTCTCCGGAACTCTACAATATAACTTTTTTTTTGTTTACCACATTTAATTCCTTATATTAAAGTTTTATTCCATCATGGTAGGAAATAAACTGCTGTTTAGCAACTATATATGGTGTCTGAAATAAACAGGACATGGATCACCCCATGGCTTGAGGATTAACCCCAATACTCCAGTTCAGTACATACTTTTCCAGTAGTTTAATAGCTAAAAATATAATTAACAAAGGTACTGATCAACTCACCAATAACAAGCATGTTTTTTTTTTTTAAACTGGCAAGCTTTCCATTCTTTTCCTGGATAAAGTTCACCACTTCACTTTGATTTTGGAAAGGCTCAAGAAGCAATTAAATGCCTTTTAGTTGTTTTCTGAGCCTCTCCAAGTACTAATTCAGAGAAAAGGGCTGCCTTTTTCTAAGAGTAGTTGAGCACAAGACACTGCTTTTCTGAAATCCAGGCAGGGAGCTCATCTTTTTTGAAGCATATATCATCATGGTCAAGATTGGGCTGTTGCAGGAAAATTACGAATTACTGGTAATCACACTTTTCAGCTAAATATTAAGGCCAGCTCAAATCAGAGGCTCTGAGTTTATAACAAGAAGCCACCTTCGTTTTTGAAAGAGATGCAGTACCAGCAGTGTCCTTTCCTGGAACACGCAGAATCAAACCTATTTCAAGGAAGAGGTGTAAATGCACCTGCCTGTTCTTTATACAAAGCATATTAATGGCTTGGACTTCATAAATATTGGTTGTCACAATGAGAAAAAGCTTACTTCACCCCAAGGTTGTTCTCGTAGAGATCATTCTCCCTTTCCTGTAATTTGGTACTCGTCTTAGGCAAGTTGCTAAAATGAAGCACAATGGTTTGAGAAAAATCTTAGTAATATCTGTAAACATAACTGCTGAGAGATTGCACACATGTATCAGGATTTTTTCTAAATTCTGGGATTCTTATTCTCCCTGAAAAACAGCATGGGGAGAAATGGGAATGTGTCCTCTGCTGACAGGTTTTTTTTGTGTGTGTGTGTGTGTGTGTGGATCCCAGCTAAGGATGAAAAATAAAAATAGGAACAGACCTGGGTATTTTACGGTTGCTGGGCCACATCTGACCATTTGGCTTCCTGGACCATGTGAGGGCAATTGGAAATTATAAACCAAATCCTGGAGCAGCCTCAGATGGCAGTAGCAGACAGTGTGTGAGGGGATATGGGCTCAGCCACCCACCACCATTTCGGTTGAAGCATGGCCTTCTGGGTGAGTGTACCCCCACAGCCCTCACCAGCAGACCAGGAACTCATGTGGCCCCTTGAGAATATTAATTGCCCATCTCAAAACTGGGAATAAGATACATAAGAAGTGAGCTATTAAGATGAATTTGATCAATATTCTGTTGTACAAAACATAGATAATATTAATATTTTAAAACATCCCTCAGTCTCTTATTAGAAGTCAATTTAAGTCAGCTTAAATTTAAATTTAAACATTAATTTTGCTTTATAATATCAACCAACAATTTTCTGGTTTTTTTTAAAAAAGAAAATAGTATCTTACCAGTAATGAAACAGAAATGAAATGCAAACATTTAAAATATACCTGACTGTTTGCATGTCTGATGGTACAGAAAAAGTTACTCCTTGCTTCAAAGGGGAAACAGGCACCACTGCATCCTAAGCAGGCAAATAAAGGAATCTCACATTTTTATTCAGGACTCTACAAAAAGGATCATGTCTACGTTTGTAACAGTGCATTTCACTACAGAATAAAAAGCAAGATACCTGGTATCATATTTCTTAAAAGCAGCTAAATACTAGATATGTGCTATCTTTTGCATAATCTGTAAATGTTTATTTTTACATTTTACATTTTTACACTTGACTTGATTTGTCAATTGCTTACAAGATACAGGTATAAGAATAAATATAGTTTTGAATACATGAGATAAGATACTTATAAGAAAAAGCAAAAAACAATAGGACAGGGATGGTAGGCACAATTGGTGCACTTATGCACGCCTCCTACAGGCCTCTTAGGAAGGGGGTGAGGTCAATAGTAGACAGTCTAAAGTTTTTGGGGTTTGGGGAAGAAACCAGAGAGTCAGGTAGAGTATTCCAAACATTGACCACTCTGTTGCTGAAGTCATATTTCCTGCAATCAAGTTTGGTGCGGTTAACCTTGAGTTTGTGTCTACTGTGTGCTCTTGTATTGTTATGATTGAAGCTGAAGTATTCATTGACAGGTAGGACATTGCAATGTATGATTTTATATACTATATTTAGATCGGACTGGAGGCAGCGTAATTCAAGGTTTTCTAGGTCTAGAGTTTCAAATCTGGTGGCATAAGGTGTTCTGCAACGAGTAGAGGAGTGGAGAATTCTTCTTGTGAAATATTTCTGGACTTTCTCAAGTGTGTTAATATCAGATACGTAATGTGGGTTCCAGACTGATGAGCTGTATTCGAGTATTGGTCTAGCAAATCTTTTGTATGCTCTAGTTAGTAGTGTGATATTTAGAATAAACCATTCGAAAATTGAATAGAGCTTTTCCCCAAGTTTTGGATGTTTTAACAGTTCAGCAATGCTTGACATTTGAAAACCAAGAAGGCAAAAAGGATGCATTTAGTACTTACAGGCTGTTTTGGTTTATGTAAGTTAATTTCTGGGAAATGTGTCAACTCTGCTATCTCAGAATTATCACAAATAGGAGCAGCACCTAAAAGAAACGTGCAAGTGACTTTTTACTAAAATGTTAAAATGCATCTTCTAAAGGCCATCTCTTGGAAATAAAATAATAAAAAACAAAATTAAAATAAAGTACAATTTTCATTAGTATAAAAACCCATCTTATATAGTGACTCTGGGTGGGCTACCACAGGTAAAAACAATACAAAATATAGAACACAGCGCACTCTAGAACTCCCAGTTTTGGTGTAGTGGTAAACATTGGTTGAATTCAGTGTGCAATGAACCAAAGTGTGCCCCTTCGTTTTTCCTCTTTTTTTGATTGGGAATAATTCATGGCAGATACTTTAGTGCCGGGGTGGTGGGGGGGAGGGAAAACAAGACTGACGCCTCCTGCAGCATGCTGCTGGGTGAAACAGGCCGCGGAGCAGCTGTGTGCCCCCTGTTTTGGCTGCCAGAGGCACCGCGGGTCGGTCCTTTGTTATTTCCAGGCCGGTCCCACAGGCCACATTTAAGCACCCGGCAGGGTGGATTCAGCCCTGGGCCTCGAGTTGGACATCCTTCCTCTAGGGTAGGTTATAGGACGACTCCAAGCAGCTGTCATTTATCTTTCTGTGTCTTGCCTTTTTTTTTTGTTTTCAACAACTCTGCAGCCAGGAAGAATCATCCACTTCCTCCCAGTTTTCTGCAGCTTCTTCAGCCCTGAAAAGCACAGTGCTTGTGCCTCCAACACCTCCAGGTCTCATTGCCCTGCCAATTTCACCCCTACTACTGCATTCTAATCACAGAACATTGGAATAGCCTGCTAGCCATTCCTGGCAGTTGGAGAATCCTGCTGTAGTGTGCAGGCAGAGTGTATTCCAGAAGACGCTTCATCTCAGCTGCTATCACCACTGACCTATTCCTTGAGGGACGGGTTCAGCCATAGCAATAGCACTTGGACTTATATAGCGCTTTACAGTGCTTTTACAGCCCTCTCTAAGCGGTTTACAGAGTCAGCCTCTTGCCCTGCAACAATCTGGGTCCTCATTTTACCCACCTTGGAAGGATGGAAGGCTGAGTCAACCTTGAGTGGTGAGATTCAAACTGCCAAATTGCAGGCAGCCGGCAGTCAGCAGAAGTAGCCTGCAGGACTGCATTCTAACCATTGCGCTACCGCAGCTCATATATCTCATACTTACCCATCTCAGAAACCTTAGATTCTCGTAGTAACATTGGCCACAGCAGCCTTACAGGATTCTTCTCCTCTGAACGAGATTTGCCACCTTCTGAATCTCGTTTCTGGCTTGTTTCTTCAAGTTCATAGCAAGCATAGTTCTTTGCAACAAGAGCATCGTTCACACACACCTGTGACAAAAGCAGTGTTTTGCATGTGAAGATTAAAGAGGCAGATAAATGAAAATACACGAGAGTTTTTATGGTTATATATTAGAAATGATTAATGTGACATAGTTAGGTAACGAGGCATTTCTGGCGTTTAAGGAATTTTGTCAAAATATCACATTAAGAGCGGCAGAAAACAGCACTGCAATATTTAATCTAAACTATATTAAATGAGCAGGGGGCTGGACTAGAAGACCTCCAAGGTCCATTCCATAGAAGCACTGCATAGAAGAGGATATTGTTTTCTACTCCCTGCACAGGATTAACATGGCCAGGAAGCCAACACTCAATTTAAAAGACTGTATGTAATTTGTAAACATTACCTTTTCACCTTTTATTGTGACATAAAGATAGACAGCAAAATTATCCTCTTCAACAGCACATATCTTGGCTTCCACTTGAGTGGCTTCTATGATTAAAATGAGGCTTATTAGATTACCATAGCAGTAAGTTTTTGTTTTAATATCAATTCTTTATACTGGATATTGACCAAAGTACAAGCAGTTCTCAACTTACAACTGACCTCTTGTTAACGACCATTTGTAGTTATGATGGCATTGAAACAAGTGTCTTATGACTGGTCCTTGAAGTTATGACGGACACGCCGTCCCCGGGTCACTGATTGTATTTTGGGTACTTGGCAACCTGCATGTACAGGCAGTTCTTGACTTATGACTAGAGTTGAGCCCAAAATTTCTGTTGTTAAGTGGGTTTTGCCCCATTTTACAACCTTTCTTGCCACAGTTGTTAAATGATTCACTGCAGTTGATAAGTTAGTAACCCAGTTGGTAAGTGAATCTGGCTTCCCCATTGACTTTGCTCGTCAATGTGATGACTGGGGGCGTGGCACAATAATAACAAAATCACCAAAGTAGATAAATTCCCTTTAATGCCTCCAACTTGGCCCCCAATGTTCAGTTATCCTCGTCTGGAGATCAAACTTTTCCAAAATCAGTCTATGAAAGGAAGAAATGCAATCCGAATCCAAAGTAAAGATAATTAGAAATAAAAAAACCAACACAAACCACGCTGAAGTACTTAACACGACAGGCCAGGATGATAAATCGCAGACTTCCAAAAGATAATGCAGCACCCACGGTTGGGAGGACGCCAAAACCCAGATAAGCCTCGACAAAGATAATACACACTTTGCTTCCAGCAACTTTGCCATACGCAGTTTTCCCTTTTAAACAGTCTTCCTAGCTGCAGCCCATGAAGGAGATCAGGACCTTTTTCTCTCCTGTAAGCCATGTTGCTCCCTTCTCCGTTCCTCCCTGCATGCCCTAGGATGAAGAGGGGATAGCCCTTCCCCCGTTTCTTCCACAGCCACCGGATCCACACTCCCACTCCCTGTCAGCTGCTCAATCTCCCCCTCAGAATCAGACTCCAACAAGGGCATGACAGTCAGAAGGATACAAAAGGAAATCACATGACCTTGGGACACAGCAACAGCCATCAATACGAGCCAGTCGCCAAGTGTCTGAATTTTGATCACATGATCATGGGGGGTGCTGCAAAGGTCATCACTGTAAAAAATGGTATTGTCACATTTTTCAGTGCCGTTGTAAATTTGAACAGTTTACTAAATGAACCGCTTTAAGTCAAGTACTACCTGTATTTACAATGGTTGTAGGTCATGGGGACCAAAGGGAAGGCGGGGAGGGGGGGGGGAGTTTATGAGATAAATTGTGTCCAAAATGTACACATGTGCTTTTTTTTTTTCAAGAGGCAACTGGACTTTCTGGTTTTTATTTGAAGATGTTTCACTTCCCCATCCAAGAAGTTTCTTCAGAGCTGAAGAAGCTTCTTGGATCAGAAGTAAAACATCTTCAAATAAAAACCAGAAGTCCAGTTGCCCCTTGAAAAAACAAACAAACCATCTTTGGGACATTTGCTTGTTTACAGTTAAAAAGAGGAATGTGCGTTGCTGCTAAGATGAATTCTATACAACTCTCAATTTAAATATAAGTCTCCTAAGTCCATTATTTTATGAAAATTTTATAAAATAGGCTTGTCAAAAAACTGAAATTATATAAGAGGTTATTCTAGTTTTTCTTTACCATTCAGGAGGTTTTGGAAGTACTGGATTGCTGCAATATCCCATTTGTTAGCAGGCCTAGAAAGAAACACAAGAAGCTTTTAATGTATTACACTGCAGCAAAATAAAAGAAAACATACAAAAATCCGGCAAATGGCATTTGTACAAGCAGGTATAAAACAATAAGTTGACTATAAAGTTATTTTTACTGATTTGTTTTCATCCCACCTTTATTACTTTTATAAACAAGTCAAGGCAGTAATACTTTTCCTTCTATTTTCCCCACAACTATCACTCTGTGGGGAGAATTTGGCTGAGAGAGAGGGACTGGCCCAAAATCACCTAACGGTTATGCAGAAAAGATCCTCTCTGAAGTTAGTGGAAGGTTTTCTTAGAATATTTAACCTCATCTTTCAGCAGCCATACTTACACTATCTCAGAATTGTCATTGTAATAGTTGACACGTAGTGTTACTGGTTTGACACAGTACAACCTAAACTTTGTAGCTCTATAAGGCAGCCTCACAAATGGTTTTATGACCACACAGATCCTGAAAGAAAATAGGTTTCACAACACACAATTACAAATTTCTACCAATAATTTTCATACCAGTAGATTTAGTGTTCAAACTTCAGATTATAATAACTTCTATTTACAGGAAAGTGCTGTTGCTTTACAGGCAAAACCAGTAAAATGAGCATAAATTTATATTCTTCAGAACCTTATGACAAATCTATTTCTGTTCTCAGTTTTTAAATTTACTAACCAGTCAACCCAAATTTTCTAAAAGAATCCTAGGCTTTGAATGAATCCAAAAATGTCCAGCTATGCCTATAGTCTTATACTAACGTATCAGTTGGATCAAACCAACACAGCAGGCCCATATGATTGGGCAGACAGGTAACATTATGACCAAAATGTTTCAATTCTTGGTCCAATCCTTTACTGAATGACTTTACAGATTATAAACACATACTTTTCAGTGTTCACAGGAATAGTTTTGGCATAGTCCACAAGGAAACATTCTGCAATGTAATAATCCGTGTATGATATGATTGAATTAACAACAGCTCTGCACCAAGATTTCAGTTCCTCACAGTAAACAGCACAAACCTAAGAAAGGCACATGAATGTTTAATGTTATACAATCTATGTTGTTTGTTTGATAACAGATAATTGGCAGAGTAAATACATGTGTGATAGAATACATATCAGACAAGAATCAGAGATTTCTATGTTTTTTTCAGGCATTCTTCAACAGGTATTTAAATTACTTATTTACATTTTCTTCTTCCTAGTATTTTTCCACAAATGCAGTGTCTGCAAGCATTGAACCATTGGTTGCAACAGAAATGGATCTACTGGCTTGTCGTAGGACCTTGATCATGGGTTCAGGGTACATGAGTGGCCCAGTCACTCAGCTGGCTTTCATGCCAAAATCAATTATTTAAATATTATCTAGCATATGGATTTTGCAAAAGATGTGCCTGTTTTCTATCCAAGATTAAAAGACAGTACGATGTATTTTCATCACTGTCATAAAAAGCAAATCTTGCGTCCTAATATTAACAAGTATAACCTTTTAATATTCTCTTTCACCACCAGAAAAGCTTTCTTAACCCTTACCTTACCACCTCACTAAGCCATTGCTATGATGATTCCAGAATTGTCTAATATTTATTATTATTATAAATGCACTGCATTTAAGTATTTTTAGAAGGTTTGCTATCTTTAAACATATAAACAAGAAATAGGAAGGAAGTTTTGTTTTTTCTCCCAGATATAGCCAAAAATATCAGATTAAAATCACCTGTCCTTCTTCTAGTACACAAGGCTTGGCATCCACACATTGATAATGTTTGTTATAGAATTGATTCATTTCAGTCTGAAGTGTTTCATATTCCATTTCATTGACTACAATTTTTCTGCCTCCTGTTATGTAGACCCAAAAGCAATCTGGATTTTCAATCTAAATAAGTATAATAAAACCCATATTAAAATACGTTCACATCGCCCCAAATGTATTTTAATATACAGAAAGTTAATCACAATACCTTCAGTATTATGACTTCAATCATTTTTTTCCTCCGATGATTTTTTTCATTTAAGGAGAATTGCAAGCTTTATCTGCACCTCTAAAAATGCAACAGATCATCCATCAAACTCTATATGAAAATATGAAAATATTCCTGAAGTGATTTTGAAGCTGAAATGACCAGGACACAATTTTAGAAAAGCATACATAAAATTTCAATATGACTTGAAAAAATTAACAGAGAAGAGATACCAGAATAATTTCAACAGTTTTGCTGGTAGGGCCCCCTAAATCTAGTTGATACAAAATCAAACAGGACACCTGAAACTCTCAATATCCCAAATGGTGTAAACCAACGGCCTCCAATCTTTTGGAGACCAGTTCTGTGGAGGTAGGTTTTTCCATGGACTGGAGGGGGACATGGCTTCTTTATGTTGCCTGCATCTCATGGATGGGGCTTCACTTGTTTGTGCGGTCCGATTTCTTGCATGCTGCGGAACCTTGCTGGTTCATGGCGCAAGGGTTGGGAACCCCTGGTGTAAACCACTACACCACAGTGCGTTCATTCATAACTCATTCTAAGCCAACACACATATACACATACACACACACACCTCTCTCATCAAAAGCATATTACTTAACATAATAAACCAAGCCATTTGGCTATTAACCATGATTTACAGTTTAGTTTGAAATTACAACGGCATTTGCAATTTATTTTGCAAGAGATGATTAACAAAATAGTAGTTTGAAATTGCAATCTAGTTGTGATTTATTCTGCAAGGCATACTAACAAAAGAATGGTTTAGCAGATACGAAAACTGCCAATAGTATTTGAGTGTCTATTGACAGAATTGCAACATAAAACTGTAAATCTGTCTTGTCAGCACAGCAAATGGATTTCTCAATTTGAGCCAGCTGTTTTCCTAGGTGAGCAACTTGCAGTCCAATTTCTTTTATGTCAGACCTACCTTTAATCACAGCTGCTAATAGCTAGCGGCATCCTTTTCTGCATTTTGAAGTGATAAAAGTTTTTTTTATAAAAAAACCCCATCAATCTTGTAGTATTTATCATTGAACATGCAGCTCCCCCAATTCTGTTTTTTAAAAAAGTGTTTACTTCACAATACTGTTCAACTGGCCCCTGCAAGTCTTCCCCCTCCAAATAGATATAGCTATTCCCAAATCCTTAAACTGTTTTTTTTTCTTTCCAAGAAACTTAGTTTCCCCATTTCAATTACAGCTGTTCAGAACTGGGGTGTGTGGGGTGAAGTGCTCTCCAGAATTGGGATGGGTGAGCTCTCTGGAGAATCCAGAACAGAGGGCTAATCAGGGAAATAAATATTAAAAACGGAATGAAATTACAATAAAGCAAAGGAAACCCGGGGGGAATCCAGAGCAGGCAGCTAGTGGGAAATTGGGAAAACAAATGAATTGAAGGAGCCCATCCTAAAAAAAAGCACTTCCTTCTGAAGAGTGATGCCAATTGGACGCCTCCCACATTTAGACTATTAAATAAGCAAACGCCATGAAACATGTAGGATTTAGGTGTGTTTACGATTTTTTTAAAAATCATGGTTTTAATATGAAGAAGTCTGATTTTCAAGTCCTTCATCCAAGACGAGAACCTCACTGGGCTGAAAACCAACATACAAAACCTGTCATCATCATCATTATTTTATTATTATCCTCATCCTCGTTATTATTA